TAAAAAGCCGTTATTTATAAATAAAAATATTAATAAATTTAAAAATAAAGTTATAATATAATATTATTACTTAGCTAACTAAAATCTAATATAAAAAAAATATTATTTACTTATAAATAAATCGTTATTATAAATAAAAAAGCTACTATTCTCTCTTAAAATCGTTTTAAAGTACTTAGTTTTATATATTATAATAGTATAAGTACGCTTTTTAATTTTAATACGTTTAAATATTTATCTTAAATAATATTATTAATTATAATTCTTACTTTTATTAATAAATATGTATACGAACGCAAATATAAAAATAAAAAATAAGGGTATATATATATAATTAATATATAAATATAAATTAAAAAAAAAAAAAAATTAAAATAATAAATAATTATAAAAAATTTACTTATTTACTTACCTTAGACTATAAGCTAATTATTTAACTAATAAAAAGCTACCCCTTAGTTTTATTTATTATTAATAAAAGAGCTTTAAAATTATTTATAATAACGAATATAATTAATAAACTATTACTTATTTACCTTATACCTATAACTTAGCGCGTAACGTAATTTATTTTATAATTCTTTTTATAAATAAATTCTTATATAGTATTATTTAAATTTATATATTTAATAATACTTTTTATAATAATATAAATAGTTTAGTATACTTTTTTTAAATAAAGATTTATTTAAGGGGGTATATTATAATAGCTTTAACTATTTATAGCCTTATTATATATTACGTAACTTTAGTTATATAATTACTTAAGGTTTATACTCGCTTATATTTTTTATTTTAGGGCGAACCTCGTGCCTATTTCTTACTTTTAATAGATAACCGTTCTCTATATTTAACGTCGATGCCCCTATTTGTGACTATACGATAGGAACGAGTTGCAACGACATGCGTACCGTCTCTTAGGTCCATCCTTAGCCTTATTTCGCCTGATATTCCCATGAGTAAAGACAGCGCAGTCCGCCAGGGATGGGTCTAACTCCTTACACCAGTCCATTTAAGAACCATCTCGGCCAGTTGGACTTCAATCACAGCCCAATCCCCGGTCTTGATCTATTGACCAGCGCCTTATGTTCCAGTCGTCATAGAAAAATTGCAAATGAAACAAATGTGGCCCTGCAATTCTTTCGTCACAATACGCAATTCACCACTTTCCTACTGCAGCTTCACGCATATGAGCCTAGCATGGTTGATCAAGTCGCAACCTGGAACAAGCCTGGGAGCCACTTTGTTCATGTCCACATCAAGGACTCGGTATGTTTTTTCTCGTGGAAGTCACTGATAAAGAACGTGCCAATATCAGGGCAGTCTACGAGCATATAAGCTATAATGGCTCCGATCATTCTCGCCAATGAGGGCAAAGCCATCTCAAAGTCGATATGAATCATACTAGCCAAATTTCCCAAGCTCAACCAAGAAGTCCTCACAATTTGACAACATACCACGTCGACTTTACACGTCCGCCATGGATCGCTATCCGTGTGTTAACAGATACAAGTACACCGTTAATTGCCCATCTTGGGTTTGGGTTTATCGTACTCGTTGCAAAAATTGCGTTTTGGTAAGTAATTGACTCCAAGCAGTAAGTTATCATGGGAAATTCTTGACATTGAGTATCTAGTATGATCTCTAGGAACATCGGGCCCAGGATTCGGACATGGGAAAGAAAGTCATATCCGGATTAGGCAGGGGCAAAGTTGACCAGGGAATCATACGCCCTGCTTAGGTGATTCAAATGCCCAACACCACAAACATTAAACCATAATCTCCAACAAAAGAGTCTACATCCATGTGCGGAGCAACCTTATGTACGTTAGAGAGGAGTCTTGGGCATACAAGTGCGCAAGACGCGCTTTCAAGGAGCTATGTTTACGCAAGAACCAATGCATGACTTGGCCATACTCCACCGCTGTCTTGCTGCCGCCGCCGATCCGTAACGAAACGCGTTCCTGCCGTGGAGCTGATGGGATGCTCAATGCAGTATGGCGCATGCGTTAGTACCTCCAGTCAAGGCCAGACGTGTTTTGCCAGCCGCAAGATGAACTTCTACCGGGCCAGACCCTCCGGCAGAGGGCCTTGAAGCAAGGGTAGACGCCTACTCCGCTCATGTAGCCCCAGCCGTAGAGAAGGCCCAGAGGGAGGTTGAAAATCTTGACAAAGGGGCCTTTACAAGGGGTAAGCAAGCGCACCACAGTGATGTAACGTAGCCATGTGGGTTAGGCCCAGCCGAGCCGTCTCCGTCCCCTGTCTGCACGCTTGCGATGGTTGCTCAACGCTTTGACTCGAGACAGTAAATTTTGTATGACGATGCTCCTCAACAAGTTCGACAATAGGCTGATCAACGCATGGAGCCTTGTAATTCGTAATTGCTGGTGATCGGCACGATTACCCGTCTCTTGCGTTAAGCCATCCGGAACGCCTGTACCACATAGACTCGAGAGTTATGCCTCCTTTGGGGAGAAATCAGGGAGTGTCTGATACACAATCTTCTGAAAACGATCACATGCAGATTTTGTCAGATGCTGGACTTGAATTGCAGTTTTCAGCCGAATACGTGTGGGTTGTCAGCAAACCACTTGAGAGACTATCCGTTTCCTACTTAAGACTAAGTGTAGCGGAGTGATGCAGGCTGAATTGGGAGCCAGTGTTCGAGGAGACGAAGATGCGCTTTCTTCCAGGAGTTATATTCTATCTCCAAGCGTTCTTGGCTTCAGACGACGGATGCGTAAGCCAAGCCGGCATACCTCAGTCAACGAGCCGTAACAAACTAATTGTAGTCATCCATATGCGTAACAACCACCAAGAATCATCCACTGTACGTGCAAGAACTCCCAGCGGCTAATATCAGTATCCTGATCTATCAGACTGTCAATACAGCGGGCTTGGAACCTGTGCCCCTTGCCCTCCCGGCTGGCCCCAAGCAAAGATATGCAGAGATCATAAGTCGCCCAGCCTTTTCATAATGCTTTTGCTGAAATTTGGAATCTCTCACTTCACAACTACTGATTGAAGATATAGATTCTGGCAAGATTCCCCAGTCTTGGTCAGTGCGATGCCTGGCATTTGACCTCAAAATGTTTTGCACACCATGTCCTCATACCGAACTTCGCATGCGAATAGCCACTTTCTTCAATCTTTTAGCACACCATCTTGAGGAACGCAATCTTTCTTGTGTACACAAACAAGCGCCATTTTACCCACACACATATTTCTCTCTCGCTCATACTCTTTGTTCGTCTAAACACGTCTTCTAGGAACAAAGCCCTACTCTAAGTGCACACTCACTCCTTATGGACATACACCTTGTCGTGGGCACATCACATGCGTCATTCGGGTGGGCTTCTTTCTTCCATGTGGGCTCACATGAGCTCGGTGAAGTGACCTCCATCATAAAGACCCAGTTGCTTGTGAATACACTCTCTGTTTGCGGGCATCTCCAACGCGATACCGCTCTAGTTAAAGGTCGGAGGTACTAGACAGTGACAAGGACACACTTGAGATAATTACTTAAATAACATTGACCTCAGACATTCTTGCGAATGAGAACCGAGTCACATTCAAACGAATACCTCTGTTCAACTTTTGATCAATAACAAAATCATCTTAGCCGTCCTAATACCGATTCATGAACATGACAATAACGGAGTCCCGCGAGCTCAAACCAAGTTTCGACAAATATTCCTGTAAGAACAAGAACATGCCAGGCGTCAATTGTAAGGGATGGACCTATGTTTATGGTTACCGATGCGAAGATTGCGTCACAGTAAGTACAGACAGAGATGCCGAAGAGAAAAGTAAGGCAGAATTCTGATATTAAGATCTCTAGAACGATATAGGTACAGCATTAAACCAATAAGAGCGTCATGGGATTGTCAGCGATGTGGATAGTGATATCTGGCTGCAATGATACCGTATCGCGATTACGAGGACGATGATGGTTCATGGTGCATGCCGGCGATTAGGATTGGCTGTTTGACGTTGATTCCACCTACTGAACGTTGAAAGACGCACATTACCCGTCGTAAATTATCTTTTTCTACCTGCCGCTAGCACCCACCATGTGGAAGATCGCAAAAAAAAAAAAAAAAAAAAAAAAAAAACCATAAAAATCTTACATTGAGGGCCCACGATGTTTTGATGATTCGACTTTCCGAGGCCGTACTGGATACGGCAGAAAAAGAAGAAAGAAAAAAACGCGTCATGTTTTCTACCATCTCATTTCGAGCGTTAAATGAGTCCTATTCCTCGTCACCGGCATACAGGTACGTGTTGCCCATGTCTAGGGACTTCATTCTCCCCAGAACCAGGGTTGCGATCTAATTGAAGGCCACTGCTGTCTGTTACAGCTTGTCGCCAATCACTATGGGAACGAACATAACTCGGACAAAGTTCGAGTAGCACTGAGAGACGCTTGAGCTGGGTTGTCTATAGTACGTGCATGAAGCTCTATCATGGATGATTGGGTCACTACCGCCAAGTTGGACGACAGGGTGGCGCCAACGCTGAATAGGAATCTTTGTTGGCGGCATGGATTAAGATGCTTCCATGTCAATGTGTGACCAGTACGGTACGCGTTCGTACTGTGACAATGACACGTTGTTCTGTTGGCTACACATAACTGCCTACTTCCAACACCCTCACTCTGCATTGATCTCCAACCTTCTTTCCATCCCTACCCATCGAGCGCTTAGCCCTCCCAATCTCTCAAAGATGCCATCCCCAAGTCCCGCTCAGAGAAGCCAGCTGGGGCCTTTGAAACCTACGATAACATCACTGCGAGACCTCACTCTTATCGAAGCCTGGGACAACGATGCAAATGCGCCAAAATACGTCACCTTCTACCACATAACGGACGAAGCGGAACTATGGTTTGGTCAAAGCTCCAAGAACAAGCGAGAGATATCTCTCAAAGAATACCAACAGGCACTGGAGCTCGTACCCGATGAAGAGATCTATCCCGAAATCCAACTGGCGCCAAGCTCACCATGGCGCCGGACAACATCGATGATCCAGTGTTCATCAAACGCCCCGGCCTCAACTGCTACGAGTCGATGAAAGGAACACCCTACGTGGTGAAATCCGTCCTCGACGAGACCTTGATCATGGAAAAGGTCTCCAAAGATCCGCATCCGTATATCATCAAGTACTACGGCTGCCACACCGCACGCGGGCGCATCACCTCTCTCGTTCTCCAGTCGTACGACTGCACGCTCACTCAATTTTCCCGGCAGCCAGGTTTCAAAGACCTCGACAAGGAAAAGTTTCTGGATGGCCTAGAGTCAGCTGTGGCATATGTACACTCACTGGGCCTGGCTCATAACGACATCAACCCGGACAACATCATGATGGGAGAAGACGAAATGCCTGTTCTCATTGACTTTGGGTCTTGTGCGCCGTATGGGCAGAATCTTCAGTCCTTGGGCACTGATGGATGGTACGAGGAGGTATTCTTCACATCTGAGAAGTCACACGATGATTTTGCCATGAAGAAGATGAGAGTCTGGATACAGGATCCGCCAGTATGATGTGACAAGTCCGTATTGAGACATGGTGCGTGTTTTCCGGCTTTGCTGGCGCGCAAGATGGATCTCCAAGGGATCAGGCTTCTGGGAAAGATATCTAGCTGTCGAAAAGAAGATGCATCAAGGAGGAACATCTTTCTATCATTTCACAATGCCAAACGTGGAGCTGTCCACTGATCACTGCTCGACGATGCTGCCGACCACGATGCGAGAACTCGCCCCGGAGAGGTGGTATGGAGACCTTCATACTGTACTACGATAACGCAATGCGTTCGTCTTAGATTACTACATTCATAGAATATCACTGCTATTCTTGTATTCTAACACACGCATAAGCTATAAGCTTTGTGTGATTGCTTGCCTTTCTCTCGCTGGTGGCACCCCGGGGGGTTGGGTCTCATTGAGATGATGATTAGATCGCCAATGAACAAAATCAACGGTGCAGTTCGAGCCGCTCCTTCTCCCGGATACCGTTTCTCAATGGCCGAGAGGTAGCTAACAATAATGCTTGTGAAAGGTGGCTTGAACACGTCAAATCTAGACGAGAAATGCGTCCTAGTCGTGAACAGCGCTCGTTATCCGGCGAAATATACAAAGCACCTGCACAGGCGGTTTCCAGTCTCTGGTCCCTAGGAATCCTCCTGGATATCTCTGGGGTGGGATCGAACTGCATGCTTCCCGCCTGACCATGAATTCCCTACTTCTTCCTCCTTCTTCCTCGGGTTTTCTTCACTCTTACCTCACCGGAGCTATTTTTCCTTCTCCCAAACTTGAACTCATCTTTGAACCTTACCTAACATCAGCGTCATCTGTAAAAGGGATACACAAGATTCAGAGGGGCAGAGCAACCGTGAGGTCACTCTAGCGGTAGCCAATCGTGGGATCTCTTCCCAAGACACAAGGTATGGCTTTCACTCCCAAGACCTATGAGAAGGAAAGCGATTGAGGCCAATCGCGAAAGACCAAGACCACCGGTCCTCAATTAGCGACTGCCTTGTGTGGCATCATGACCATTCTTCTCTCACATTCACCGCCTTGTTGTACGTACATCATCATTTCGACCGCCTGATATCATCATTCAGAAGTGAACATTAATCGTTGCGTATCATTAAACGCTATCTATGCGGAAATTGATTCTATCGTGCTATCGTACTGAAAGGTTGTCCCTCAGACCTAATCAAGGAGCTTACAGTCGAGAAGCCAGATGCCTTCAAGGGCAAGCCGGTCAACTGTTTTCCTTCACGATCCAGAGGTCGTGGGGGTAGAGTCTACGCCTTCTATCTGACCCAACAATCTTTTTACTCGTTATCCGTAACCTTGATAACAGTGGACTTGAATTGGCGTGCAGGGATCTTGCGGTTGAAGAGAATGTCGGCCTCACGGTACGAGCGGTGCTTGAGCTCAGGCAGGAAGAAGAAGGCCATGATCCAGCACACACAAGCGGTACCGCCCCAGACGAAGCCGCACTTTCCGGCAACGTTCCAGCCCGTGGGGTTGAGGAGCTGCGAGGCGAGGTAGATCATGGGGATCTCGGCGACGTAGTACGCGGCGCGACCAACGGCAGTGCTGAGGGCACGGAGGCGGACGGCAGAGGTCTCGGCGATGATGGTGTAGGAGATGGGGCCGAGCGTACCCGCGAAGACGAAGGAGATCAATATTCCAAGGACGGCTTGGGCGTAGTTGGTGGCGCTGTTCTGGGGGATCGAGGCGCAGACACCCAGGAGCATGAGGAAGGTGATGTTGACGGCGGTGCCCCAGAGGTAGATTGTGCGGCGGCCGAACCAGGCGGTCAAGGGCCAAGACAGAGCGTTTGCGACGAACTGGAGGCAGGAGTTGATGAGGTTGAGGTTGAAGGCCATGTCGTGGGCCATGCCGGCTTGCTCGAAGAAGAAGGTGGCTTGGTTGGCGATCAGGTTACCGGCGAAGTTCTGCGAGGCGTACATCAGGCAGGTGATGGTGGTACGTCTGAGATCGACACCCTTGAAGAGGTCGAGGAGTGTGGGGGTGCCGCCGATGTTGGCCTCGATTTGAACGGTACGCTCGATCATGGCGAGCTTGCGCTGGGCTTGGCCGGCGGTGCCGTGGGTGGGGCCGAGACGCTGGACGGAGCGGAGGGCTTCCTCCTTGCGGCCGCGGCGGATGAGCCACCAAGGGGACTCAGGAGCGAACCAGAGAATCACCATGAGAGGGAGCTGAGAATCTGGTCAGTCTATAGTCATGCAAAGTACACGGGAAGTGAGTAGACTCACGGGGAAGATCCACTGGAGAGCGAGGGGCGCGCGCCACGCCCACTCATCCGTACGGCTGTTGAAGCCCAGAGTTGCGCCGGCGACAATGATGGAACCGATGGACCAAGACATCTGCAGGGTGGCCGTGCAGGCACCACGCAGGGCAAGGGGAACAATCTCAGAGGCGTAGGCGGGGCCGATGGCAATAAAGAAACCCCAGGGAACACCCTCGAATGCCTGTCCGATGGTGAGGACCTCAAGTGAGTTGGCCTGGGTTGGAGTCAGTACACATATGGATAAATAATGCTGCCATTGAGATCTCTTACAAAGAAGGAGATGAAGATGGTGGCGTTCATCATGACCAAGGCAACCATGGTGGCCAGGCGGTATCCGAGCTTGTTGACGACCGGGCCGGCGAGGAAGACACCGACAAAGGCACCGCACTGGCCGGCCTGGAAGAGGGCGGACTGCCACTTCGTCTCGATGGCCTTGCCGCCGCCAGCAACTTCAACACCGTATCTGTCTTGGAAAGCCTTTTGGGCAACAAAGTTACCGTTCAAGAACATGTCGAAAGATTCCATAACCTGTTCGTTGAGTACCCCAATTAGCAACTGACTCGCGAACTTGAAGACGGGATGACGGCCCGAAGAGCCGCCAACACCCACAGGGGGTCGATACCCCAAGCACAAATAATTGAGGGGAACTTACAATGGTGAAGCACATGATAAAGGCCCAGAAACAAGCCTTGGGATGCGTCTTGACGGCCTGCCACAGGCCCTGGTTGTGCTCTTCGTTCTCGCCGTCAAAGGCATCGTTCATGAGGTCCGCATCGGCCAGGGTCTTGTTGCCTGCCGCGTCAATGTGGTGAGCATCGCCGGCCTTTTCGTCGACAAAGACATTATCGTCCCTGCTGGAGGCGTCGTGCCCGTCCTGGGCGAGACCTGTCGACATCTTGGGCTGAGTTTGTGTGAGAGGTCTGATGGTGATCGTGGAGGGTGGTGGCTGCAAAATCGGGGGATTTTGGCCAACAACAAGTTGCAACTAGCAAAAGCCAAGAGAGAACAAGCAACGGCCAAGAGACAACAAGCAAAAAAGCCAAGAGAAATTTGGAGTCGCCCTGGTGGCCAAGATTTCTTTCTAGGAAAGGGTAAATCGGGAGCATCCGGTCTTATACCATCCACGTCCCCCAACGCCGGGGACGGGAGCGGCCTTCAAAGGGCTTGCTTCTGCTGACGAGATGGACTTGAACAGAGACTAGAAAATGCGAAATCTCATGCTGTCATTGGTGCGCGTAAGAATACGGGTAGGACGGGGCTCTGCGGAGCTTTGGAGTAAGCATCGTGTCCTGACCATGTCCCTGAGGGCGTCTGGGGTGTCTGGGGGATAAGGAGACTGTTGATAGGTGGGAGAACTCTAGTGTCTCTTCGTGCGGGGGGATCGTGCGGGGAGCGGGGAGACTCGAGGTCCAGTTCTCCAAAGGCCAGCCGAGGTGACGGAGGTGTTGGACAGGATGGGCATGGTGTTGGACTTGAAGAGCCTAGGAGGTGGATGAAGTGGATGAGCAAGATGATGTGGATGAAGAGGAGGAGGAGAATGGATGGAGAGGAGAAGTTTGGAGAAAAATTGGAGAGACCCAGTCTTGTTGTGATCCAAGACGAAGCCAAACCTTGCCTAGCTGTGATATCCTGGTTCACACCCTTGCTTGACGCAACTTGAAGCCGCATTGTGCAAATTGCAACTGGTTGATTTCAGATGGGCTTCGGATGGCTTCGGGCACTAGTCAAAGGCCCGATGCCGTTTCATGCGGTGATGCGCTCGCTTCAGCAGCCAGCGTTTGCATATCTGTAGATTCGCGTGGCCTGACAATGACATTTCATCCTTCCATCCGGTATCCGGTTGTGTAGGGAGCGTAACATTGTCATATAGCCAAAAGTCCGTTGTAGAAAGCGGCCCCGATTTCCCCAGGAAACTTTGAAGGCGGGTACGAATATTCGTACTCCGTACTCACCCGCTCAACCCCGTTGGGTTCCCACTCAACTTAGCCTATGATGACTGTCGACGTGGTTGGGTTTCTTTCCTAACCTGGGCTTAGAAAAGTTCGTTCTGGTCGGCCCGTATTCAAGGGGCAGTGTGGAGACAAAGAATTGCTTTTGGCCAGGGTTCAGCCAGTGATGTTCTCGAGGAGTCAGACGGCACTAATCGCCCCCTCTTGGACCTGCCATGTCGATTGGCATGTCAAGTTGAGAACACTGGAGACCGGACGAGTAGACTGCTTTAAGCTTGGGTTCGCTCTTCTCCCCCAGAGAGGCCCGCTGAACTCCAGACTCCAGAATATGATGGACAAATGGAAGAAATGACGACTATCATTCCCCACGGGTGCCGCGGGGAGTCAAACCTTGATTCTTTGACATGGCATCAGTATCACGAGGGTGGCCCATAGCCACCATTCACCCCAGAGAACTTTCGACTCATCTCACAGCATGTGACTTGGTGATTTAAATCTTTAGCCGAACTTTTGGTAGCCGGGCCCACCGCTACTCACAATCTCTGGGGATCTCCAGAAAACGGTGTGCCTAACCCTATGCGTGCGAATCAGACGTAGTCGCCGTTGGCCCGTTGATGCTATTCGCAACTCTCCCCACAACCACAACCACGGCCCCATACCCTGCGACAGCAAAGTCTCAATCGCTAGGTTTCGAACCACGATCAAGATAGGACCGTGATCAAGCCAGTCGCTCGGTCAGCCGGACAGCCGATAACCTTCCAAGCCGTCTATGGCCCCGTCACTCATTTGACACTTTTGCTAGCTGGGTGCCGCGGCCGTGGTCATGGTCCCTCGGTAAGTGTGCGGCTGGAGAACGACACGGGTACTTATCCCTCGCTCTCGGGAGCGAGCTCCGAGGGCGTCGTCTATCGCCGCTGCCCAGCAGCAAGCCAGCCGGCTTGGCGCTGATCTTTTCACAGCCGCCATCGTCAGCGGCTGATTTCGGTCTTCCGAATCAATGAAATCGCTTCCCGGCTACCGACGTGGCTGCTGATTGGTCACATCCGGCAAGGTTCATCTGCGGTGTAGTTCAGCCGCTTCCGCCAAAGTGTTTAACCGTTTGGGTTGTTCTATTCTTTCGACTTTTAAACGCGCACGGCGTTCCCTTGCAGAGAGGATTTACGACCTTATTTCATCCAACCCTTTGAGTTCCGGCTGGTAATTTATCGTACTGCTCGTAGTTCCATAGAGAAATACGATCCTCATCAATTTTTCATGTACTGCTCCATCAGTACTTGCATACCATGTCTCTCTTCAACTTTGTTTCTTTCGACCTTGACCAATGGGCGGGTATGCGAAAAGTTGGGGCAAAATAACGCATAGCTCACCATGAGCCAGTTTGAAAAAGTAAATCACTGGCGCTATCTATCAATCGACGAGATCTCGAAGCACAGTATGGGTAACTTTGTGTAGAAGTCGGATCATGCCACTGTACGCCGCCAATTTGCCCAGAGCGTACGAGTACCTTACCAATGTGCTTTCAAGAGTGAATGAGCCTAGTAGCCCAACTTCAAGATAATGTAGACACATCGGTGCAATTGGCTATTTCTGATTTTTGCAGCTTCTGTAACGGAGAACTGAGCAACAAAGAAATGGTAGTATTCGGATCATGGAAATCTAGGTCCCGACATTCTACTTTGAAAAATCTAAGATATGGCTGGCAAACCTCTGTGAGCTTGACTTTTCCCGCTCCGACTGCATTGTCTTCCGTTAGGGGCTTGCATAATCAGTCACATCTCGACATTTCCACGTTCGAGCAATCGAGATATTCAAGACTCGGCTACCATGGCACTGCTCGATCCAGAAGACTTGACATAATAGCTTTTCGGGCAGTAAAAGTTTCTAGGTATTGTTATCTAAGTCTGTAGACTTGGTGAATCATTGATACCCATTCATCAACTTCCATGGCCATTCGACCTCAATTTAGGGCAGCTGGAGGGGCAAGGGACGGGCAACCTTTCGATCACTCGTAATTACGAGCGACGACTTGAAGTTCGTCCGACCTGCCTTCAAACAGTGTTGCAATCGCCAGATTTCACTAGGCGAGATGTATATGGCCATTCCGACACTCGAGTACTGGCACAGCTCAGGGTCCTAGGATATACTCGAGAACATGGCACGCTGTGAAATTGCCCACACAGAGATCTTTAGAGAGTTGATGCTCATGCTGTTCGGATGGCCAGACGACACGCGAGTACCATTGTCCATCCGTCTCTATGATCAACACTATAGTCAATCGAAGAATACAAAGCTTCACCATTTCAATATAGTGAATCCTCAACTCTTTCCGATCGCGCCATGCGTCCGTACTTGAGTTTCACGTACATTTACCAACCCTCGCCTCCGAGACGGAATGTCGAAGGCGACTTCCATGTTACGCAAAAGTTTCCCAACTTGGAGTTCTTCCATCTCGATGCCCCTGAATTCCCCTTCTTTATCAAACTCCGAAGAGAAGTTCTAAAGTCTGTGATCAGCACCCTGTCATCATATCAGTTTCCGACATTGGTGAGGCACGCAACGCTCATCATACTATCCAATAACTACGGCCCCTTTCAGCAGCTACCGCAGATGACCAAAGACGGGGAGAGCGATCCTCTCTTCGTTGGTCTGCGCCGAGCGATCTTCTCAGAATTTGAGTACGTGGGCCATCTCAGCTCTTCGTTCTTTTGGCCGCCACCCCCTAAGTTAGCCTGGGCGACGCAGGCCCGGATTGGCAAAACATGACCAAACTCAAGGTTAACTGCGACATGGTCTCGCCGAGTGGGGAATGGTGCCCGAAGCGCAACAACACAGACATTCTCGAGCTTCTGCGCAGCGCCTCCATTAGTGCCGGGCGCACTCCGAGATCCTGATGTTGAAGACTCGGTATGGGAAGCTGATTATTCGTCAGACGCAGAAACATTGAGCGTTCCTACTTAGAGCATATCGACCGAGACAAGCAGTATAGCGTCAGCGGCCCAGACAGGCAAGCCGTCTGGACCGTCAACGAGAAGGTTATGTTGCCAATGCCATCATCCATTGCCAAGGAGAGGGGCCAGATGATCTCCCTCGAGGAACTTCGGTTCAGAGTCATCTAGGCTAAGTACAATAGACGCGAAGACTACGAATGGTTCCATCGCTTCCACGTTGATTATCTCGCTCCTGGGATGATGCCAGATGTCGGTGACGAAAGGTTTCCGCGGTGCAAGTACTATTGTAAAGACTTGATACCGGAATTTAGGGCGCGCCAGGCCTGCGATTTAGAAGGGGCTCATTTGCTACTCAGAATCGGAACGGAGAATCAGAAGCAGGAAGGGACAAAGAATTCCTGTCCGGACAGCCAGAGATGGCTTTCGAATATGGATCAGTGGCAGCCGAATGAAGAATTGCTCGACTTGTTACTTGAAGGCAAGCAGGGAGAAAGGTCCATTCAAAGGATGCGGTCATCATTCGACACGTACACCATCGTAGACAGGATCAGACCATGGGCGAGAACTAGCTGTGGCATCGGTAGAGTCGAGTCACTTGTGATTGTGAGACGAGGCCGCCGTTTTGAGATTTCAACTTTGTAATATTCCTCCAGGCTACTGACTTGTGTGTCGTACGCATCAAAACCCGCCAAACTGGACGATGGATTGGAAAGTATGCCGTCTCTTTTCTCAATGACATTTGCAGCTGACAACTTATATCGTCGTCTACCGCTCCATCGGCCCTTGACGAAGTCAAGAGTGACATAGATACAGGATCTAACAGCTGGACTAGATATTTGAGCCAAGTAGCCTTATCTACCTACGAACCTTACTGTCCGTCCGTGATACCTACCTGTCATTTTGAGAACTTAATAAAACAATGGAGACTGCGACTATAACTCAAGACACATCAATACATGTACATGTTGAGGACATGCGGCGTGGAGGATATTACATCACTCAGAGCATAAGAGATTGAGCATAAGAACTCAGTCTCCTAATTGGAGGGGTTTACCCTTAGCAACAGTGTAGCAAGATTCACATGATCACGAATGCATTGTAACGATCAACAGGCGGAGAACTTTTTGATTATTTTTACTCATACATCTACATCATCCGCATCATTACAACATTACACATTTGTCCAATCCCATCTTTACATCGCCAGCAGGGCCAACAGGGAGAGGCTCACGGTACCCATGCTGACGGAAACCATGCCAGCGCCGCTAGAGCCAGAGGTAGAAGTCGGGGTGGCACCGGTACCGGTGGCAGTGCCGGAAGGAGTAGACGCGGTGCCGTTGGTCGCGACAATACGGCCCTCAATCTTGGCCTCGACGGGGCTCTTGGCCTCAACATATTGAACGAGGACCTCGTCCTGGGTATCGAGGGTCACAAAGTCGGTGGTAGCAACAAAGATGTTGTCACCGCCGCCGGCTAGGAAGTCGAGAGTGACAACCTTGTAGTCCTTGGCATCATCAAGGGCCTCACCGCCGACCTCAACGGAGACGAGCTTGGAGCCGTTGTTGCCGGCCGGGTTGTATTCGATGATGATGTTCTTGGAGACCTGAAAGAAGGAGGTGATGGCCTCCTGGTTGAACTGATTGACCTTTGTCACGGCACCCTCGAGGATCTTGCGCAGGTCGGAGCCCTTGTAGGTGATCTCAACGATAGAGTTGCCAAAGGGGAACGAGGTGAGGACCTCGCCGCGGGTGATGTTGCCCTCGTCAATGGTGGCGCGGATGCCGCCGGCGTTGATGAGCGCAAAGTCGGGCGGGCTGTCGGCGGAGGAGTTGAGGCGGTATTCGTACATGGCGTCAGTCATGACGTTGCCGAGAATGCACTCCTGCTTCTGGCAGAGGGACTGGTCGAGCTCGACGTTAGAGACGCCGACGACTTCGGCGGCAAAGGCCTCAAAGGGTCCGCGCCACGACTCGATCTGGGCCTGGAGGGCGGCGTCCTGCTCGGTGGTATTGGTGAGGTGGATGGGGCCGCCGTGGTAGGCGAGGATCTTGCCCTCGGCGTCGTATGTGACGTCGATGTAGCCGACGTACTCGCCCCAGCGGTAGGCGGTAACGATGAAGACGTCGTCGCCGTCCTTGTTCTGCTTCACGGTCGGGTAGGGGCCTTCTGCGTCCTCCATCGAGCCGAGTAGGGTGTGGGAGTGGCCGCCCATGATGAGGTAGAGGCCGGTGGTCTGCTCGGCGAGCTTCTGGTCCTCTTCGTAGCCGATGTGGGTGATGGCGGCGATGCGGGTGATGTTGGTGGTAGACTTGATGTGATCGATGGTGGACTGCACAGTGCTCACGACCTCGAGGAACTTTGTGCCCTCGCCGGGGGAGGAAATGCCCGGGGTGGTGGTAGTGGTGACACCGATGACAGCGAGACCTTGGTCCTCAAAGATGTGGTAAGGCTTGATGGTCTTGTTGAGCTTCTCGTTGTCAGAGACAATGTTGGCCGAAATGACGGGGAACGTCAGGTTCAGCAAGAAGTCACCCAGCTGGTCGTCGCCGCCGTCGAACTCGTGGTTGCCCAGGGTCATGGCATCGAAACCGAGCTGGTTGATGGTCTCGGCAATCTTCTCGCCCTTGTAGAAGGAGTAGAAGAGCGTGCCCTGGAACTCGTCGCCAACGTTGAGCCAGAGGGAGTCGTTGTACTGGGGGCGCAGCTCGTCGACGGTGTGCTTAATGCGCGCGTAGCCTCCGTAGCAGCCGCGCTCCGGACGGGTGCAGTCGGTGCCCGAGGATGAGAACTCGTCGAGATGGGCGTGCACATCGTTGACGTGGAAGAAGGAGATGTTGTAGTTGCCCTCGGCGTCGATGCCACGCTTGGAGAGGCGAGACGAGTAAAGGTGGTCACCGTCTTCCTTCTCAGGAACCGCAAAAGCGGCGCCGGCCAAGGCCAGAGCCAGCGTCGGGAGAGACTGGCGCATTGTGAGTGAGGGGATTGCGAAGTCCGGAAGGTTGGAGGCAAAAGAGGGAGCTCAAGAGGCCGCAAACAAGCTCGGTCTGATGTCAAGGTTGCGCGGGAAGTCAATTAAGCCTTCACGATGCCACGGTTGAGTATGCGCCACGCAGAGTTCTTGGAGGGGAAGAGGAGGAAAACTTTCTTCTACTGACGATCGCAATTCCTCTCTTTCCGGGTTCTTGGAGCTACCCGCGGGAATATATACAAATTTTTGCTTCTGCCCAGAGCTTGCGGGCAGCAATTGGAGAGTGGAACAAACAAGAACCACATGCGATTGATTGTGACGGCGGTGGCACGGGCAACGCAGCGCGACAGCTTCGAACGGGGGCCTGCATCTCGGAAAGCATCTCTCTCTCAATGCTGAGTGGCTGGTAAGACACGACAAGACACCAAAGAACCCCCGTTGGAGGTTCTTCTGGCCGCATGCCAAGACATTGGCAAAGTGGTTGATGCCGGGAAAGACAGCTTCTTCGGTGATGAAGTAGCATTTGCCAAGAGACGCGGACAGATGAGGGGTGAGATACACGTTGTGGTGGTGGTTTGGATGATTGGCTTATCAGCGGTCCCTTTGCCTCTTCTGGAGCACGCGTTGGCCCGGCGGAGGCCCTTTGACATCTGTCATGGAGGGACGGACGGGTCTGGGGGACCTGAACCGGGGTTCATGATGTGGTAGTGTAGTGTTCCTCCGGACGATGCCATGCGACTCGCGGCCAATGTGCGGTCACTGACGCATCACGGTCTCTCTTCAGCTCCTTGGGCTTTCCACAAAGGGTGACCGAGAAAGGGCTTGTCTTGTATTGGCAAATGGGGTGACGGGCAGAGTTCATCGAGCTTTGTTTCTGTATCCGGTCCCGTGCCATCACTTGGTGGCATGGGTACCGCATGGCGAGGAGCCTCAACTGGTTCGGTGGGAAAGGAACACCTTGATGAACATCTGCGGAGCAACTAGGCACTCATCATAGAGACCGATTGATGCACTCCAGAGTGCCTGCAGAGCGAGACACTCCCTCGGTAACACGACGTGACCTTGGTCCAGGTCTAGGGTGGCAATCCAACCCATGGCAAAGTCACCATCATGTTGTGCCAGGCCGGCTTGGCCCCCGTCTCCCTTGACTCTGACAGTTCGTCCGTCCTTCTGCTTCCATCCAAGCTTCAGGCGGCGTGCCTCTTGTCGCGCGGATTGAGTCGAATGACCATTTGGAAAAGAAACTTGACGATTCCCAAAATCCTCCCACCATCGTTTCACCCCCGCCGGCTTGGGATGGACAAGGACTTCTGGGCTGGGCTGTGGGGTTCGGAAGAGCAACAAATAACGTTAATCCAGTCACTGTCCAATCCCACGCAGCGCTTAGGAACTTTCTCTGATAACGTTGGGGAGACACCTAGGCCGAAGACGGAAGGTCAATGTTATTGCGCTGACCTCCGCTCCGCCTGTCAAGAACCCGCGTGCGTGTGTTCAGCTGCGATCCCGGCGGATGAGGCTGGGCCAGCTGCTGCTCCGAGCTTGCGCAACACTGTGGGTTATTGGTTCGTGATCTCGGAATCGCAGCAGAGAGCCAAGATTCCCAGCGATAAGAAGGCCTTCGATATTGTGGCTGCTTCTCTCCCGGGGATGAGCTACCCTTTCAGGGCAAGATGGCACGCGAGCCTATCTCTCTCGCTCAATATTCCGATAGGAAGCTCTAAAGGCAGGAACGGGTGACGGCTATGAAGCAGTCGGATGTCGCCGAGGAGCGGCCCTACAGCTGGGTATTTGGTGACTAGTCAATGCAGCAGTACGGCGTAGCGAGAGCTTGGAAGTAGATGTCAAGTGTGTAGTGGGTCGGTGCATGCTATGCGTAAGTTGCCAAGTATCAAAGCCATGCGAATCGATGTCGCGTTGATATGCGGTATCTCATAACGTGGGTACGGCTTGAGAGGAGAGGAGAGGAGGGCGGGCAATCGGCGGGAATGTGGGGGAGGTCCGGAGATGCCAGCGGAAGTCCCGAGTTATCGAGATCGCCCGATGCAACACTTGACCACTGTCCATGTAACGAGTGACATTTTCAGTCAATGACAATCTGGATGTGATAATCTAGATTAAGAGCAAATCCAACTCACAGTTCTGCTTCAGAAACTGTCCTATAAAGCCGCTCGCTCTGGTGATAAGAAACAATGGGTTGATG